AAAAACAAAATCAAAATGTAAAATAAAAACAAAAATCTCAGCTTTGCAGAGAAAGAATCAGTATGTAATGCAAGTCAGAGAAATCCAAAACATAAACAAAATAATAAATCTTCATGAATGAAAGTTACCATAAAGCAAGAATAATGACGGATGGCAGGAGCGCCAATATGTTCGGATAATGCTTAGTAGCAGAGTCTGGTAAGAAAAGACCCCCCTTAAAATGTTATGCCAAATCTTTTTAAAAAAGCTTAGAAATGGAAAGCATAGGACATCAGAACTCAATCACCTAGGGGCATACGTGTTCCACGAAGTGAAGGCTTATGTCTTAACAAATATCACTCAAAATTGAGCTTTGAGTCTCTGAGGTCCGTTTAATTGCAAAAGTAAAATTTAGATGGAAAGAAAACGAATTTTAGGGAATTGAATTGCCTAAAACTTGTTTTAAAGGGAATTGTCAATTAAATGTGTTTGATTGGTATAATTTTCCACCTGAAAATGTTGAAATTTTGATATTTGTCTGGCTTTGTTTTCCATAGAATTTGTTTCCTTTGCCAAGAAAAAATTTATAAACAAGTAAATAACTAAAATAAAAATTTATAACAAATGCAACAATGTACCAACTAGAATCTTGCTTGTTTTGATTCTAAAAGAAAAATATCCAAACATGCCCAACTTGGAAAATTAAGTGTCAGATTCATTAATCCTTTTTAGCCACTATCAAAGAGGAAAAAAATGGATATAATCACAAGAAGAATATTAAAATAAATAAATAATAGAATTTACAAATCCAAGGTCTCTAGTTGTCAACTGTCTGCTACTGAAAAGTTACACCTTCACTTAAGGTTATCGTATTTTAGGGTTATGAGGCTAGGGTATACCTCCTCACTTGTTCTTCATTAAATTTTCATATCTATATTTTTTTGGTTATGTTGTCTTTAAAATAAGCTCACACCCGCTTAAAATGTTCAAGCCTATAAAAAAACCATCTGAAATGGTCGATGCAAATAAAAATGTTAGACACTAAAAAACATGAACTTTGGGACTCCTAATAGACATTAAAAATAAGGTGCACCTCAAGGCATAAGCCTTGTGCACTTTTGAAAACAATGTATCCAAACCCTTTTTATGTTTTTTAAAATTTTATTTTTTATTTTTTGTCCATCTAAGAATGTGTCAATAAATACAATAATGGCTTGTAATCCTAATAAGAAAAAAGTAACTCTAACTAAACAAATTATAATCTTCTCAATTTAGATTCTCTTTTCACATTATGCTTCTCTTTTCAAATTATGCAAACTACAAAATAACTCTAAATCGAAATAACCAACAAATTTCCATTTAAATAACAAAGTCAAAATAAGAATTAGATAACAAATACAATTATCCATCTAAAAGTACTCCTCCCATGAACAAAATTCCAAGTCTCTATATGCACTTAAACCCCAATGCTAGCCTCCAAATTTCAAAAATGGGTCTAAAATACAAAATTTATCAGTTTGATGCCATAATCAACACAGAGAAAAAACTTGATCTCATATTGATAGTTTTTGTCATTTCAAATCTCCTACAATTCAATTATTGAGTTCCATTATTACATATTATCTTCAAAAAATTTTAGTTTCACGATTCAAGAGTACATATCGAGAAGAATCCGACAGAATTGGATGGGGTGGGGTTGGAGGGGGGGACAATTTCATGCCCAGATCCAAGAAATTATTCCAATGTGGGCAGTATTTAATAAAGGTAAAAATATAAAAGCAATGTAAATGTACAATACTATATTTAATTTACTATTTCCAAATAGAAATGCCATATTTTGGACCTTTACTGCTATTTCACAAAAGTCAGTGGCAACATGACACTCTACATTCATAACCGACAATTTCAAATTCGAACAGAGTTATTTCTATTCTGGTTCCAAGCCCCAATTCTAAATAGTTATTAAACAAACAACAATTCACAAACAACACTCCGATTTGAAAATTATTGATACAGAACTTTAAATAAATAAACAAAACTTATAAAGATAAAAATGCTAAACCTTAAAGTAATATTTAGCACAATTTAGGATTGCAAGAAATAGGCAATTAAAAAATTCACATTTAAAATTGCCAAAATCCAAGCAAAAATATTTTTTAAAAAAAGAGGGAGAGAGAGAGGGATTAAAGGATTTATTTACCTAAATAGCTTGGATTTAGTCACTTAGGAGTTGGAGACTTGAAGGGACAGGAGTGATTCAAGGGAAGTCGGATGTCAGTGCCAATTGCCCATTCTCGTGCTGGAGTTTCCAATTGGGGTTGTAGGCGGGAGGTTTTGCCGAGTATTGAGATGATATGCAAATAGGTTAATTTTTATGTTCTTCACATTCATTTGGTTTTGTTCTTCTAGGGCTGATTTGGTGGTTAATGGGCTATTATTTGGGTTTAGTTTTGGTGTAGTTGGCATTTTTTAGGAGACTTCAGTTTAATATTTTTTATGATTTGAAGCATTGAGCTGGCATTTCTACCCAGCCCAATGATGAAAAATTTTAAGAGGGGCGGCCATAAAGTTCAGTGCAAGCATCCACCAGCAATGGACCTTATTGGGCTCTGCCCCTTTCACACCATAGGGATTATGGTGGCAAAAGTTTTCACCAAGAAAATCATGATATTCAAGTTCTATGCTATTTCCATAAATAACTTGGAACTTCTATGAGATTAGCTAGCTGAGAAAAGTAAAGTCAAGTATTTGTGTATACCCATAAGAGCTCAATGTTTGGATCAATGTTGTCACAGCTTGCCAAAATTTTGTGGTGCAAGAGAGATAAATAGGAAGGTACACGGATCTTTTTGGACAGTTCAACAGTTTCTCAATCAAATCCAAAGTACTCAACCCCAATCTAAAGACAAACAAAGCCAATCCCAATGCATGAAGTTCAGGCATTATCTCAGTTGGGCGCATTCAAAATTATAAGGACATATGCTTATATAAGTAAAAGATGAAATGACAATGAGTAATGATAAGTTCAGCAACACTCCAACTAAGGCTAATCAATAAGAAAATAACAAAACAAGCAAAAGACATTAAAACAGCAACATCAATTTCTTCTGCAAATTAGCAGTCAAAAGAACCCCTTGCGTTATACAACACGGAAGAACGAAGACTTTAAAGTGAAAGAATCACTAGTCATATGTGTCAGAGAAATCCAAAACATGAACAAAATAATAAAGCTTCAGGAATGAAAAAGTTACCTTAACGAAAGAATACGGATGGATGGCAAGAGCGCCCAATGTGTTAGGATAATGGCTAGTAGCAAAGTCCCTAAACCGCCCCAAAACCCTATACCAAAACCTAAACTTTGAATCAGAAATCCAAAATCAAGAACATTATGCCCTTGCTTGAGCCCCACTCTCAAAAAATTCATTTTTTTTTTTTTTTCCAAATTCATTTTCAATCACAAATTCTCCTAGTAAACTGATTTTGCTCATAAATTCAAAACAGTTTCTTACTTTTTAACCACACATTCTCTAAAAAAACCACTATTATAAAACTCAATTTTAACAACAAAAAAAAAAAAAAAAAAAATGGA